ACGTCTTGCAGAACAAGCCACAGTGAGGATTCTGTAAGATGGACCCTGTCACTGCCCAATGCAGCCCGTGTGCTCATAGGACTCCGTGTGAGGCAGTGCCCTGGAATACTGAGAGCCTCCTGGCCCTGCTGTTCTGAATGCTCTGCCTCCGGGTGAGGACAGATCTCTGAGCCGCTGAGTTAGCGTCACTGTCAGCTGGGTGGCTGATGACAGCAGCTAGGCTGTGCGTGGCTCTGGGAGTGTGCATCGCCCACGCTGGCGGGCTGAGGGCCCAGTGCAGCTCCAGGCCCCTTGGGCACACGTAGCCCCCCTCGTGGAGGGATGGGCTGAGATGGGATCCTGTGTGGATGGTGCTGCAGCCGAGGTGACTGGGTCTGGAGACCTTGATTGTTCCCCTATGTCCTGGTGGCACTGCCCTTTGTGGCCTGACGCTCCGAGCATTTGAAAGCACTCTCCCAGGCCCATGTGTGCACCACTTACTACAGATGTTTGCCCCACACAGTGGGAGGGGTAGGAAGCTGGAGCCATTTCCCAGCCAGCACACTGGCCTGGCGTGTTTTGACCATTCTCTCTGGGCAGGAGACGGGTGCTTCCTGTGGGCCGTTCACATGCCTGCGCTTCTCACCCTGCGCAGGCCCAGGGGCCCTGCCACGTGCTGGGTGTGGGTGAGTGCTGATGGGCCGCCTGTCCAGGACCTCGCCCCTCTCCCAAAGTATCTCCAGTCTGGGCTGGCTGTGACTCTCTGGCTCCTCCGGAATCTAAGACCCCAGCCTCCTCTGCTTGGTTGTGCCCATGTAGTCCTTGTGTGGCCAGGTTCTCGGCAGCCGGAATGATACTGTGACGCCTTTGGTGGGCAGGGAGCTGGCTTCTCTGGGACCTTCTGGCAGAGGCTCCTGGCTTGTCCTGAAATGGGATGGGCTTGCTAGTGGAGTCCAGGCAGGGGCTTTGGCCACCACCAGCCTTCGTCAGAGGTCATGGGATGTGGGACTCATCCTGGGGGACTCACAGTTGGTGGGTACCCCCAAAGCCCCCAGGCCCCACTGAGTCCAGGTGCTGCCACAGAGGCAGTGAAGGCAAGGTTCTGATAGGGTCTCGGGGGCTGACAGGATGACTAGATTCAGAGCTTTGCTCACAGGCACAGAGGCGTTGGAGCCTTCCAGGGTTCACAAAGGGGCCAGCAGTTCCTTAGCCACAGCATGGAATCACAGCGTGGGATGTGCAGCCGGGGCCTGGGCCCCATCCCACGGGCAGGGCCAGGCCTTGAGGTGCACCCTAGGTCAGGGGGATGGGGGGCGAGGAGCTTGGCGGCATGGCAGCTCCCTGGAGTGGGAGTGAGGAGCCTGCCTGGGCCGTCAGTGGGCATGGCCTGGGAGCTGTGTGGGGTGTGCAAAGGCGGAAGGAGGGGCACGGTCTGCCATGGGCAGGTGGCGGGAGGGCCCAGCCCGCGTGCCGCAGCAAGGCTGGAGGGGGTGGGGTTCCCCTTCTCCCTTAAGGCTTGCCTTCCCCCTGCTCCCTGGGCTGAACCATTCTGTTCTTCCTCTTTCTCTTCAATCGAGCCTCTGTTAAGTCTTTTTATGTGTGTGCTGGTATATGTTAGAGAACCAGCTGGGGGCGGGCTGACTCACAGAGTGTGCGTCAATTTCCGCGGTGACCATGAACTGCCAGCCTGAGCGGTTCTTTGGTGAGATGGAGCCACCCGGGAGGGCGTGCAGCCTGGAGGTTTGCTGTTTTGTAACATAACCTCTGTGTCAGTTGTATGTCCTGGTATTCGAATGGCTTCCTGGAAAAATACTTGCACACCTGCTGCTCATCACATGGCCTCCACCTTTGAAGCAGCCCTGCCTCTCTGTTAGACCCCTCTGGCCCACCCCTGCTCCGTGGCCCGAGCCGTGTGCTCCTGGATGGCCTGCGTGCTGCCACTGCTCGCCAGGAACACAGTCACAGGAGAGGGCACATTGGCAGGCCCACCCACACTCAGGTGGGGTTCTGCAGGGTGACGGGGCCTCTGGGGCCTTCCTTAGGACTCTGCTGGCCCCGAGGCCCCCGGGAAACACGGTGATTTTCGCGAGAATACATGGCCTGGCCGTGGGCCTGACATGTAGTGGTCTTGTCTCTGTCCCCTGCTGTTCGTCATAAGGTGATTCGTGTGAGTGCTTTCAGGGGCCAGGAACTGGGATCAGTCCCCGCTGGCCCCCCTGGGAAGGGGACACGAGTTGTGTCAGGCAGGGTTCTGTCCATAAGTGGAAGCCAGAGCAATTATTTTCTGAGCATCCCCTGCTTCTGAAAGCTCACGTGACACCCCTTTACTTTTAGGAAATACCTACATTAGCCCTGCATCAGGTCAGCTTTTTTCATAGAAGTGAAGATCCTGTTGAGATTTCTTTCATTTAATAAAAGCAGGTATAAGGTAGGTCTTTTGTAAAAGCAAAGGGATGCTAACACAAACTTTCAGGAATTGGGCAATACTCTTCCCTTTATGCCCTCCGTTTACGAAGGTTTCATAGCGCTCTACTTTCAGATAGTGGGGACACCTGTATTAGGAGAACAGAAAACAGGTAAAGGACAAAGACATGAAGGAGGCACCTGCTGGGGCGCTGGCACTGTGGGGTCCCAAGGACGTTGGGGGTCAGGACTGAAAGCAGGGCGAAGGGGATGCCAGCTCTGCAGGGCTGAGTGGTGAGGCCCTCTGCCGTGGGGGCCACAGTCCATGCTGCCACAGCAGGGGGACGGCCGGCTGCTGGGATGAAGCCTGGGAGGGGCAGGACCCTCGTCTCCCTGCCTCTGGCTCCCTTGGCAGTGCCCAGCAGGGAGCCACCAGCTGGGCAGAGAAGTGCTTGCCTGTCGCAGCCCAGACGTCACAGGGCTGAGGACAAAGGGTGGGTCTGAGCTGAGTTGAGCGGCAGGAGCCTCCTTCCCCTGGGGTCCCAGGGCTCCAGGCTGCCACGATGCCGTCTGCCTTGCTTCGCTTCTGAGTCTTCAGGCCTTGCACGTGTGTTTTGACGGTTGTCGTCAGACTAGCACCTGCTGCTGACGAATTAGCCAGTCCCGCTGGTGGCTGAAATGGAGATACCTAGGGGCCCCGTTCTCTGTCCCTGAATGGCAGGAGCAGCGGCTCCGTCTCAAATCCATCGCTTCAAACACCGATTACCCGTCCACCCAGAAGCGATGCAGGGTCGCTTTGACAGATGTTCAGGATTTGCGTTTTCGTTGCTTCAAATCTGTTTCTTCAGAGTTGGTTGGAATTTTAAGGGGTTTGAGACACTGCACTCTCAGAATAGGAGTCCATGAAATCAGACAAGCATGTTTGCAAAGTGTCAGTTTCAACCTCTTAGCGTAAGACTGTGAGTTCTGTTTTATTACTGAGTCCTAACAAGTGGATAAGAATTTTAGAAAGACTTGATAAATGGGAATGATAAGCATACAGCTCAGTGACTTAGAACAGTGAGCTCGCCTGGCTCCCCACCTCAGGAAGGTGGGATGTGTGCGGCACCCAGGAGCCCGCAGCTCCCCACCCCCCCGGGGCAGCCGCTCTGCCCGTGGCTGGGGCACTGCTGGCTTTGGTCGTTGAGGTGCCGTTTGAGGTGGTTGGCATTGTTGGGGGGCGCCAGTCAGGATGGGAGACCCCCTGCACTCAGTGACCGCCTTCCCTCTCACACCCTCTCTGCCTCCTTCTGACTCTCCCTGCCTCTCCGTCTCTCCCTGTCTCTCCATCTCTGAGGTCTCTTCATCTCTGTCCTTGTGTCTCTATCTCTCACTGCCTCTCCATCTCTGTCTCTCCATCCCCCGTTTCCCCATCCCCCCATCTTGCCATCCCCCCCTCTCGCCATCCCCCCTTCTCTCTCTCACTGCCTGTGTGCAGTGCTGGGCGGCCTTCCTCAGATGGCTGGGATGGCTGGCTCTGTGGAGTGACCAGGGCACCTGGGGCAGGCCGTAGAAGGGCCACGTAGGGGCTTTGGTCAGAGGCCTGTGAGGATGCCCACAGGGGCTGGCCTGGAAAGCAGGGACGCGGGGCCGGGGTAGGACCGAGGCTGGGAGGTGGGCGATGTGTGGCTGAGGTGCGGGGCGCATGGAGCATGTCTCATGCCCTGAGGGACTGCAGTGTCCTACACGTGGTGTGGCCTGAGTGAATCAATACTTAGGAAGTGTGAAAACAAACAGGAAAGCAGAGATAAAGCAGGACAGATGGCTGCAGACCCTCCCATCTTCGCTGGCTTGTGAAGACGTCTGGGCTGTGCAGACATATCCTGTCCTTCCCTTGGGTTAGAAAAGGGTCCCTACTGAAGCCTCACCAAGAGCTGCTGTGTAGGGCAACAGCCTGCCCCCAAGGTGCCCCTTGCCCTGCTCGCCAGTGTCTGAGGGGCTGAGCCAAAATACCCCATGCCCGTGCCAATGAGAGGCTGGCTCGGCATGGTGAGGCCTCTCCCTTGTCCGTGGTGGGTCTGTGGCGGGACCAGGCTGGGCCCCTTCTCTGTGGCTGACATGACACGTGTGGGTGGAGGGCTCTGGGCCGGGCTCATGGGGAGGGCAGGGTCAGCCGTGCCACTGAGGGGGCCCTTGGCCTCACCTCCTTGTAGGGGTGGGCTTCAAGCCCAGGGTCTGGGAACAAGGAGAGCCCTGCCTTCCTTCTGTGCCTGAACACATGGATGCCTTTCACCTTCACTTGGCAGGGTTTCGGAAGTGGCCTGAGGGCTTCTCCGCAGGGCCCCAGCAGCTGGACTGCGGCTGAGTCCCAGTCCCCCTGGCCAGCTTCTTCCTAGTGCTTCCTGATAAGAGGTGGGGGGACAGAGCCTGTCACCAGACACGCATGGCACTAAAAGTGCAGGTGTTGACACAGGGAGACCGTCCCGTTGTCCACATTAGTGACACCCTGGCCTGCTCCCGGGGCCCGGCAGGTGCGTGGCCTGGCAGCTCTGCCTACCCCCGGGCCTCATCCGACGCCTGCTGTGGGCAGTGCGAGCCCGGCCTGACACTTACACCTGGTCCTTCTCTGTGTCTTGCAGGTCTTGGGGTTTGAGATTGACACGGTGAACTCTGTCCAGTTTTCAAACCACACAGGTAAGGCGGTGGCCTGAGCAGTCACTATCAGAGACATGGGGGCCCTACTCCTCTGACAGGTCGGAAATGGGGGCACACAGCCCAAGAAGGTGAGGGCTGAGGTGCGCCTGTCTTCAGGCGGGACCCGGGCCTCTGTGTTTTAATCTCACCCAGCTGCTTTGAGCTGGGTGAACTGAGCAGGGGATGTGACCTCGCCACGCCTTCGTTTTCTCTTCCATAAAACAAGCATGGTGGTCCTAACACCTACTCTTGGGCCATGCCTCTCTCCGTGTGACACCTGCTCGTGCCCCTCATCGTGCACTGGGTGACACCTTGAGCTGTGACGAGCATGTGAGCCTGCTGCTGGTGGGCATGGGGGCGGATCCTGATCCCCATTAAACCCAGCACCTCCACGAGCTTGTGTGTACACCTCAGTGCGTGGGGACCCGCGATTTCTGTGCATAGAAACCTTAAGCAGGACGTGAGGGATGCTGCCCTCAGAAAGCCCTGGAGTTGTCGGGGTGAGCTCCCCAGCCCTGCGGCCTCAGGGTGCCCTGCCCTGGGACGCCCACACTGCTGCAGTGGCAGGAGAATGAGGCTGCTCGGGTCTTGGAACATCCACATCCGTCCCTCCTCTGACATTACTCTGGGCCCAGATGGAACCTCGGGAGCACAGAACAGCCCCCAAACAGCTGGTGGAGTGCCCACGGGATACGTTGTGGGCGCCTCAGCCTCAGCCCGGTTCCGTGATTCTCTTGGGTGTGATTTTCCTTGGAAGAGAGGCTGTCATAAGTCACCAAGTGAGGGAAGGATTACATGTGGGATTCAGACGGAAGGCCATGCTTCCCGCCAAGGGACCTTCCCTGCATCTGCCCTCCCGAGCGTGGAGGAGGAGCTCTGACATTGGGAGAAGCCTCAAAGGTTCAAGCTGACCCGGCGACCTTCCTCAAATCCCACGTGTTTTATTGGCTGTTTTAACCAGCTCTTTTTTTTTTGAAGTGAGCAAGCCAAACTGGCTTCAGCCTTCAATGACGGAGCCGAATGCTGAGTGTTATACTGGGCCATAGTCAGCATTAGCTCACCAGGAGCTCAGCCCCGGCTCCTTGCCCAGGAGTCCAGGATCAGGGGCGGGGCTTCAGCACTGACTGGCTGCCTCTGGGCCCCCTGGGAGCCCTCCAGCTGGGGGCAGACAGACCGTCCCGAGGGGTCCACGAAAGAGGGGGCTTCCGGCTGCCGCAGGAGGGAATGGTGAAGGCCAGGCCCGGGTGCCGGGAGCCCACGCAGGGCACAGCTCGGGCAGGGGCAGGGTGGGGCTTCTGTTCCAGGGAGGCTTCTGGCTGTGGCTCCTGGAGGCACCCCACCCAGCCTCCACCAGCTGCAGTACAGGGCCTGCCTGGCAAGGGGACCCCTCAGGCAGCCCTCGTCTATGGGGGGCTCTCGAGTGCCCTGTGCTTGGCACTCATGGCTGCCTATGCAGCCTGCCCAGGGGGCTTCCTGGGGGAGGCCTCCCCAAGGCCGCCCTGTGGCTCAGGAGCCACCACCCACCTGGAGAAGCCAGCACCCCTGCTCCTGTGGGCCCCTTCCTCCCGTCTCTCCCCACTCGCCCGGCCCACATGCTGCTGAGAAGTGAGACTGGCGTGTCTTTCAGGCTGGCCTGCATGGCATGTGGCTTGGCTCCCGGGGAACCACGGGAGCTGGTGGTTTGGACACGTGGCCCAGAACAGAGCTCTACCTGCTCTGAGTGTACAACACTTGTGTGACGCTGTGATCCGTCCTGGGCTTTGGATCGAAGGACTTGATTGTTCTGCCTTTGGCTACAAAGCACCGGAGGCCTTTATTTTTTACTGCATTCACCCTCTAGCATCTGCTAGACAGGAAGGAAGACGTGCTCACGAGAGACTGGAGCGGCTGTCCCTGTCGTGGGCCTCCCGGTCCAGGGCTGTGCTGCTCCAGCTGTCTGGCAAAGGCCTTGCTGTTGTGTTATTTCCACCATGCGGCCCTGCTCTGCCCTCGGCACTCAGCTGACTGACCAGCGCAGTTCGCTCACACACTGGCCAGCTCAGGGTCATGTGGTGGGATGCTGAACAGTGCCAGTGACCACAGAGGCTTCCGGACACTTCTGCCCACATCTGCTTGTCTCGTGGGGTTGGGCACGGTGTGGCAGCCCTCCTAGCAGTCCTCCTGACTGTGGTCCACATGCTTCTCCAGGTCAGAAATCCCTTCTTTTTTTCTTAAAACAACTTCATTAAGATATTTACACACCCACATAGGTGGGTGATTCAGTGGTTTTCAGCACACTAGGAGGCTGTAGCCATCACTGCTGTCCCTAGAACGTGGCCGTCGCCCCTGTGGGAGCCACCCCGAAGTGACCGCCTGTCAGCAGTCCCTCTGCAGCCCCCCAGCCCTGGTGGCCACCACCTACTCCGTGTCTGGATTTGCCATCTGGACATCTCACCGAGTAGGCGTGACCTTTGATGACTGGCCCCTCTGTTCCTGGCCAATCACGTTGTGACGGGGCCAGCACTTCATTCCTTCTGTGACTGAGGGATATTCCCTGTGTGGCACACTTCACGTGGGTCCTCTCTGCTCTCGTTGGTGGATATCTGGGTTGTGTGCTGTGGCCTTTAGGAATCACCTATGTGTGCCCACAAGCACAGCTGCTAGATCAGGCAGGGACTGTCCACTCATTTGAAGGACTGCCGGACTCCTGCCTAAAGTGGCTTCCTGCTTCTGCAGTCCCGCTGGCAGTGGGCGAGGGCCCCAGCTCCCCTGTCACCGACACTGGTGGCATTGTCTTGGTCTTTTGTTCTCGCAGTCCTAGCGGGGGTGAAGTGAGTGGAGTCTCCTGTGGTCTGCATCGGGAATCACCTACAGTGGGGGCCTGAGGGCCTGGCTTGCTGGGTGACAGGTGTCCTGAGGCGCCTCTCATGCCAAGGGCCAGATACTGACTGACTGGCAGCCAGAGATGGAACGTGAGGAGTGGGTGCGGCTAGGTCACAGGAAAACGTACACTTTACTGGTAGACACCAAAAATGGAATGTCGTGTAACTTTCACAAGTCATAAAGTGTTACTTTTCTTTTTTCCCTAACCATTTAAAAGTGTAAAAACTGGTTTTTATCTTGGAGGCCTTAGAAAAACACGTGGCAGCTGGACTTGACCCCTGACTTGGACTGGACCAGTGTTTCTCCGATTTCCCCTGGGGCCTTATGAGGCTGGTGCTGGCCCCACCCCGGAGATGCTGACTCTGCAGGCCTGGGGCAGGGCCTGAGAACCTGCAGTCCAGCTGAGACACCCCCACAGGGTACCCCACTGTGGACAGGGAGGTTCTAGATTAATCACAAAAGTAGGTGGGGTTTGGAGGAAGGAGGCTTCGGGAGAACATTCCTAAGGGTGAGGGTGGGCAGTGGTCCTGGGCAGACCCCCACTGTGCCAGGGCCCCCCAGGACCACCCCAAGTTAGGATTTGCTTGGGGACTTCATGGGACTCAGCACAGCAGAGCACAGAGCACGTGGCCTGCAGCCCCCCAGGGCAGCTTCTGACAGAGGTGCTCAGGACACAGTTGGCTCCCCAGGTGGGGCTGAGGTGGCACAGGGGAACATCAGAGACCTGCAGAGATCAGTGCCCAGAGTGTGTGTGGGGGGCTGGTCGCGGGGGCATCCCCGCCTGGGGCTGCCATTCCAGGCTCCCAGAGGGAGAGCCCATGTCGGTGCGTGGGGAGCCTGCCTCCCCAGTTCTGGGGGCCCCCGAGGGCCTGAGGACAGCATCTCTTGGCGCCTGCACAGCCCCTCCAGCCCACCCTGCCAGTTCTTATAGGCCCTCCGGTGGGCAAGGCCGCCCTGTCTGTCATTTTCTGCCCTCTGGAAGGTGGGGAGCTCTCTAGGGCAGAGCAGGCTTTGAAGCAGCCCCAGACCCGGCCCTAGGCCCCCATTCTCAAGTCCTTCAGTGAAAGTTACAGTGAGCTCTCTGTTACCCAAGATCCTGTCCAAGAGGCAGCTAGAAGAAACTGGGTTCGCCAGAGGTTGGTGGGCAGGGCAGGCCCAGTTATCCTGGCACTTAGAGTTTGAGTGTGACCAGCTGCCGGGTCTGGTGGCAAGCCCCTGGGGGACGGTGGCTGGCATGGACAGGGAGCCACAGGGTCGGGGAAGGCCAGGGGCAGGTGCCTGCGGCAGACTTGCATTCAGGGGCCTCCTTGGTGGACTGATGTGGGACAGGCCTGCTGGGCCGGCTCTGGCCACCCAGGAAGTGGGGTCCCTAAGGGTTATGGGTTCGACCTTTGCAGAGTTCCTTTATCTGTCTGTAAGTTGAGTGATTTGTTTGGAAAGATGATCAGAGGGCCCCACCCGTTTCAGATGGGGAGAAGACGTGTCTGGGCAGGGGTGCTAAAAGGCATGGGCCAAGCTTCAGAAGTGGGTCTCGGGCAGGGGCCCTGTGCTCTGCCTTGGTGTTCTGTGTTAGAGACCTGCTGGTGGCTGGCATCTCTTCTGTGTCACTGCCTGCTGTGGACAGAAGTATGTCTCCCCCAATTCCTGCATTGAAGCCCTAACCTCCAGCACCTCAGAATGTGACAGTACTTGGAGACAGGGTCTTTACAGAGGTCATTAAGTTAAAGTGAGGCCCCTAGGGTGGGCCCTGGTCCAACCTGACTGGTGTCCCTGTAAGAAGAGATCCCACCACGTGAGGACAGAGGAAGAAGACAGCTGCGAACACACCCAGGACAGAGGCCTTGGTGCGTGAGCAGCCCTGCCCACCTGACCTAGGACCGCCGGGCCCTAGAAATGTTGTGAGAGCCATCCAGCTGTGGTTCCCGTCACAGTGGTCCTAGGACACGCACACGCTGTGTGTGCGGCGGAGTCAAACCACCCCCCAGTTGGAAGGATGCTCGGAAAACAGGGCAGAAAGGAGCACCTTGTGTTTCCTGCAGGGACCCTTGGCCTGCAGGACCCCTGGCAGCCCAGGCCCACCTTGAGCAAACTCCTGCCTGGGCATAGCCAGAGGTGGCCGACTCTTCGGGGGCTGCGGGGAGGGGCAGCCTGTGCGTGAGGAGCGGCCTTCACCTGAGGGTGCCCCCAGCCCCTCACCAGATCCCTTCCCGGCTACCCAGATAACGGGGGCCAGTAAGCTTCTCAGTCTGACGTCCGTCCTTCTGGCGTGAGTTTACCCTGGTCCCCGGGTGCATGCAGTGGGCATTGCGTCTGCCAGACATCCAGAGTCCACACCAGTCCCTGGAGAATTGCTCGGTTGGGTCTGGGCTGCTGTCCAGAGTGCCCTTCCCAATGGTCCCTCCTTGCTGGGGGGGCCCTCACACACAGGCTGCTATGGAGGGAGCCATCCTTTGCCAGGCACAGGCAGCCTGCTGGTGAGGCCCTGCCTGGGGGAGGCCTGCAGCGTGCGAGGTTCTGGCTCGGGGCTAGTCAGGCCCTCCACCCCCGTGGCTGGTTCCTGGGCTTCGCTGCTGTGGGAATCAGCCCTCCCCAGGTCTTTACCTGTGAGCTTAAAAATGCACCCATACTTTTGGCAAGAAGGAATCCACCAAGTTTTTGTGAGTGAAATGGGGGTGTGGCCGTGTGGTGCTGCTGTAGCCCCCCAAGAATGAGCAAGCCGTTGGTGTGAACCTGCGTCCTTCTGAGCCTGTGTGGGAGGGCTCCTGCATGGCAGGAGGGTCCCCCTGGGAGGCTGGAGGTCTTGTTGGCAGGATGCTCACGTGTTGGTGTGCCTGGGGCGGACGGCTCGCCTGTGGGGCCTCGAACCAGGCTGGGGCTGTTTCCAGTTCACGTCTGGCTCTTGGTTAGTATGGGACCCCAGACTTGCTTTGATTACAGCTCAGCCTTGTGGGGTTGGGATGTGGCAGGCAACTCAGCCTGAGTGGGGAAGGCTGCATGGTCAAGGCTGCTGAGGCAAGCAGCCGTTGACGGGGGGATGCACAGGCACCCCCTCTGAAGATGGGTAAGTTGTAGATCTCTCTGGGCCTGGTGCGTCCCTCCTGTGGCCCATCCGTCAGCAAACACAGGCTCAACCGCCCGGAGGCCAGCCCGGGGAGTGACTGCCCTTGTTGCCATGGATTGGTTCTGGGGGGAATGGGCAGGGGAGGGTGGGACCTGGGTCAGGACAACTGGGACAGCATGAGAGCTGCCGTGCCCGTAGTGGATGCCTTACGGCCAATGGCATCAGGAGGCCCACTCCCGTCCGTGCTCAGTGAGCTTAGACCCTGCCTGGCATCAGCCATGGTGTGGGACGGTCCGTGGGCGTCATCGAGGGCATGCGGGCCATGGGCTGGGTCACCTTGGGCCCCGGGGTCGAGGCCCTGAGTCCCTGCTCTCCTGCAGGCTACGCACACTGGAAGGGTCAAGTGCTGAACTCCAATGAACTCCACGAGCTGTACGAGGGTCTGAAGCTGAACAATGTGAATAAATATGACTATGTGCTCACAGGTACCCGTGGGCCTCGCTCCGGCGGGGGTGGGCTCGGGAATGCACCCCCATCCCAGGCTTGCCCCGTCCCTGCCTCCTCCTAGGACTTGGTGGTGCCCTAGTGGCCACCACACCCCAGTAGCCTGATCCTGGGGGACACAGCCATGCTCTGCCCACTCAGGTGATGACTGTGCTGGACATGCTAAGTTAACCACACTTCTGGGGTCTCCCTGGGGTTCTGGTGCCCAGGCAAGGTGGGGGGAGGGGGAGGTATTAGGAAAGGGTTGGGGGTGAAAATAGTAGGTAAGCAACATGCTCCCTGGTTCATCGTTCATTTGTCAACTTCTTGGTGAAAAACAAAGAAGCCTGTTTGTATTTCTGTACATCATTAAAAGTGAGCATGTTTATCATGGAAATGGGAAAGGAAGGGAAGAGGACATGCCTCCAGCGCCCGTCAGCGCAGCTTCTCCGCTCATTTAAGACTTCTTTTGGGAAACGCCAGGTGCCCCCTCGCTGACCACAGGTGTTAGGTGACCCCCCATCTTACACACCCGCTGGCCTCTGGGCAAGTGGCTCGGATGGTCTTGTTTCTCCTTTTGCCGTGGTCTGTCTCACAAGGGTGGCCTGATGTCCCTCCCAAAGGTTACATGAGAGACAAGTCCTTCCTGGCCATGGTGGTGGACATCGTGCAGGAGCTGAAGCAGCAGAACTCCAAGCTTGTGTACGGTAGGTCCTGGGCGGGCCCCTTCTCAGGTGGGGTCTGCTGGGGGCCCTGTGAGCAGGTGGCTGTGTCACGTTTTGCCATTCACAGCCGGGCCTCCAGGGATGTGTGCCTCCAGAACTCCAGAGGGGTCTGAGACGTCTTCATGGTGAAGCTGGTATCTGTGGGGCAGTTAGGAGAAGTGGGTTACAAAGCTGCTGTAATCAGTGCCAGGTGTAGATACGGCCGCCCGATCCTGCAGCTGGGGCACGTGTGACCCACTGACCCTAGAGGGGGTGGTATGGGGGCTGATGCCAGGCGGGGCCCAGCTAGCGAGGGCAGAGCTGAAGTGTAGGCCAGGCCTGTCTGTCCCTGCCTCCAGGCAGTGGGTGTCCCACACCCAGGGCCTCTCCGGGTAAACGACAAGGCAGATGCTGGCTGCTCTTTCCCTGGGACGTGGATAGGTGCATTCAGGACCTGAAGGGTCCTGCAGCGGCCAACACCTGAGACACTTTTTGCAAGAGGGAGCCCAGCAGTGCACACCTGGCCCAACCTGTCTGGGACAGTAGTCGAGACTCTAGAGTCCCTGTAGAGGGCCTTTCCTGTGGAGGCCTGGGCAGCACCAGGCTGTTTTTGTCACCCTGACTGCAGCCATAGGCCTTTCCTGGGGTGCAGGTCCTCCAGGTATATACACCAGTCCCCACCTGTGGCTGGCCCAGTGGTGGGTCTGACATGGCCCGTGGCTTGGCCCATACTGTGGACGCTGCCCAGAGGGCATGTGCTTGTTAAGGGAACAGATGGCACCGAGGCCTCAATGTGGTCTACCCGAGGCCAGGAGGATGGAACAGGGCTGCTGTTCTGCGTGACACTCTTGAAAAAGGTGCAGATGATCACAGATTAAAAGAAAGTTTTAACCAGAGCACTTTGTCGTCTTGGAGAGACCCTGCTTCCCTTGGGTTCGTGGAATTTCACAGCGGAAAGAGCTGGTTAGGGTTCTCTCCTCAGCTGTAGCTTCCGCTAATGAGGTGCCCATCGTCTCCGCAGTGTGCGACCCAGTGATGGGGGACAAGTGGGACGGCGAAGGCTCCATGGTGAGTGAGTCCGTGTGTGCCTGTGTGTGGGGTGCCACTGTCAACCCGGCACGTCCCTCCAGGCGGGGCGTTGTTTCCCGGGCTGGGGCCATGATTCTGAGGACCAGAAGCAAGGCGGGCAGGTGAGATTTTGCAGAAAGGGCCACAGGGTGGATGTTTGGGATCACACAGCCCTGATGTAGCAAAAGGCGGCCAGAATCTGCAAATGAGCAGATATGACTATTTTAATGGAACTTCTTATGCAGACTCTGAAATTTGAATTTCCTGTTATTTCTGTGTGTCACAAAATGTTACTGTTTTGACTTTAACACCACCCTCCCCACCCCCAACTGTGTAAAAATGTAAAACCACTTTTATGCCACAAGCTGCACAGGCACAGGTGGTGATGTCACATGTGGAGAGGTAGAAAACACAGGTGTGTCACAGAAACGCACCCTCACCCAGGCCTCCTGGGACACCACCCCACCCCGCGTGAAAGCCTGTGCACAGCCAGGGCGCCCGGGCCCCTGGCCCACAGTCCCGGGCCCCTGCTCTTGTCTCCTCTCTGGCCTCAGCCTGCCTGCTTGTCTTCTTTCCCTCAGTATGTCCCCGAGGACCTCCTCCCAGTGTACAGAGAGAAGGTTGTGCCAGTTGCAGACATAATAACCCCCAACCAGTTTGAGGCTGAGTAAGTAACGAAATGGCTGAAGCTTACAGATGTCGCCCAGAGACTGTGCTGGGAGGGTCCCTGTGTCCCTTGGGGCTTGCTCATTGGGTCGCATGGCGCTCCAAGGAAGGTCCTGCCTCAAGGTGGAGCCAGGCACCAGGGTGGGGCTGGCTGTCCTGAGTGGGGGCCGATATGGCGCCTGGGCCCAACATTGCTTTGAGTCCCCAGCAATATGTGGGTACTTCCCCTGGACACCCTGTGATCATCCTGACCCCCAGCCATTAACCGAATGGCCAGAGCCATTCTGGACAGAAAGGGGAGGAGGTGTTGTGCTGAGCAGAGGGTGCTCGCTGCTCACAGGGGCCACGGGATGGGGCGCCCACAGCAGCAGACGCAGGCGGCTACCCAGGAGCTCTGAAACTCACAGCCGAGCTTTCTACATGGGGTGAAAAGGGGGGACCGTGCTAGACCCTGCCCGGCATCGAGGGTCAAAGAGCCTCATGAGTGCGTGGCTCACCTGGTGAGCAGCAGAACCAGGCGCCTGGGGACGTGCCTGCCGTCCCAGGCCGTGGGGTGTACACCTGGGCACCAAGGTGGGCGTGTCTCCATCCCAGTTCACTTCTATTGGACCATCGACTGGGGCCCTGTGTCTCCCAGGCTGCCCTTTAACATAGGTGTGGGGGTACCTGGACTCGGGGGGCTCAGGGTTCCCTGACCCCACCCTGGAGGGTGCTGGCTCACCCTGAGGGCCCTGGGCCATTGGCGGACTCGTGAAAGGTCCGCCAGCCCTTCACAACTGTGACTTCCCGTGGACACTGGCACCCTTGCGGGAGCTTGTGCTGTGACCTGGATCATTATGTGGGGGCCTTGGGCTGCCGTCCTTTGCTATTGCATGTAAGCAGCACAGTCTGCAGCTTCACCACATCCCTGTGATGTGTCAAGAGTCCTCTTCTAAAACTAAGTTTTGCTCTTGACTGGTCTGTGGACACGTCACAGAGGCCACCTGGCCTCTATCGGGCAGCAGATGTTGAATTCGTTCCCTATGGGGCTGGGCTGGGTGTCACCAGCACCACCACGGCTTTGGACATGTTTCCGGTGGGGCCCCAAGCAGCAGTGCCTCACCTGTGGCTGCCCGTCTTTCAGGTTACTGAGTGGCAGGAAGATCCACAGCCAGGAGGAAGCCTTAGCGGTAAGGGTCCCTCTCAGGGCCTCGTGTGGGACCAGCGGCATTGCTCACGGGAGGGGCAGCCCCATGCCCTCGGCAGTAGGAGACAGGCACCCCAACTTCCTCCTGGCTTCTGGGCAGCCAGCCAAGGAAGGCCTGGGGGACATGTTATCAATTCTGTTTTGGCCACTGTGCTAAGCACTGCTACATGCAGCCTGGAGTTTTGCTGCACTCCTGTGGCATGTCGTCATGCACTGTTGTTCCTGCCTTCTGCTCAGAGAGTGAGTGGGGAGCCCAAGTGCCTGCGCCCCCACCCAGCTGTGCGAGGGGGGCCCACTGCATGTGCTGCCTGGGGAGTGGTCAGATCCGCATACACCCTCAGGGTCCGCCAGACCCCAGTAGGAGGGGGTGTGCGTGTTTGTGCTGTGTGAGAGTGTGCCATCAGGCATGCGTGTATGTGCTGTGCAAGAGTGTGCCATGGGGCGTGTGTGTTTGTGCTGTGCGAGAATGCGTGTTTGTGCTTGCGAGAGCGTGCCAACGGGCGTGTGTGTGTGTGCAGTGTGAGAGTGTGCCGGGGGGCGTGCCAGGGGGCTGTGCATGTGTGTGCTGTACAGGAGTGTGCCGTGGGGCGTGCGTGTGTGTGCTATGTGGGAGCGTGCCATGGGGTGTGCGTGTGTGTGCTGTGTGGGAGCGTGCCAGGGGGCCATGCGTGTGTTTGCTGTGCGGGAGTGTGCCGTGGGGCGTGCATGTGTGCTGTGTGGGAGCATGCCGTGGGGCGTGCATGTGTGTGCTATGTGGAAGCTTGCCATGGGGCGTGCATGTGTGTGCTGTGTGGGAGCGTGCCTGGGGGGCGTGTGTGTGTGTGTGCTGTGCAGGAGCGTGCTGGGGGGCATGCATGGTGTGCGCTGTGTGTGCACATGCATGTGTCTGCATGCACTTGCGTAGAAGAAATTTAGTGCCAGAATCTGGCTTGCAGCTCTGGGCCGGGACAGGAAGGGTGGGCTGGAGCCCCAGGCAGCAGGGGCCCAGTGGGGCTTCTTTTTTCCAAGTTCTTTCCAGCTTCCCCGCCCCGCCCCTTGTTGTTGGTCGGCTGGTCATTTAGGTTCCCATGGGTTGACCACTATGGGCTGTGCATCCAGGCACTGAGCCCTGTTCTGCAGGCCAGGGCCGTCTCGCCACCTGTGGCTGGGCCTCATCAGAGGATGGGCTCTCCTCACCATCCCAGAAATGTGCTCTGAGAGCCAGGCCCACCATGCTCACACCAGGTGCATGGGGCTGCAGCGCCCATTCCTGCTATGCAGAGGGCTCGCTGGGCACGGGGCTGAGAGTGCTCTCCTCCCCGCTCTGAGGACCTTGCTGCAAGTAGCAGCGCCCTGGGGCCTCAGAGCCAGATGACCCTAGGGCAGGAGGGAAGCAGCTGAGGCCAGGGGGCCCCTTTCTCAGTGTGCCTGCTCACTGAGGATTGGAGGGAGTCGTCTGTGCTCCGCAGCGCCGTGCGGGGTGGGTGCACGGTGAGTGTGCGTGCGCACTGGGTGTGTGGTGGAGCCCTGTCCCCCTCCCCACCCGCCTGCTCTCAGCTCTGCCCCAAAGGCTACCTGCCCATGTGTCCATAAGCCCTCCTCAGAGGCAGTCTCACCAGGACATTCTAGAACAGTCAAGAAATGGTTTCTGGTTGCTACGTGCCCCTTGGGCCTATTATCTCTGCAGCCTGCGGGTTGTGGGCAGACGGGAGGGGAGTGGGCTGCCATGGTGTGAGTCAGGCTGGGCCTTCTCCTAAGCCAAGGGAACCAGACTTGGAATCCTTGTGAACGCCGGGCACTAGCATCTTCGAGTGTGTGTGCATGGTTCAGGGTCAGTACAAGGGCCTTCCTGGGGCCTCGCAGTGACCCACCGGAGGGTGGGAGTCGAGCTGCTCAGCTGATGCTGCCCATGGGGGGCTGGGGAGGCCACGTCCTCCCTGAGACCCGTCCCCAGTCTGACCCTGGCCGTCCTGTGCTGGCCGCACTATACCTGCCTCCTTTCCTGGTTCAGCCAGAACCTTCCTGAGCTCTTTAGTTTACTCCGCTGGGCATTTTGTCACAAGGAGCCTGCAGCCAGCAACATCTTGCTAGGCAGACAATAAGGGTTGTTCACTGCATGAATAAATGACAGCGAGCAAGGGAGTGAGGGAGCTTTTTGCCTGATGGTGTGTGCGTTTTGCCACTTGAGGCAAGGTTAGTAGGGACAGCTATCCTGGGGCCTGGTTTGCACCTTCCTCTGGAATCCGGTCCCAGGTAGCATGCCAGGTGGGGGCCAGCAGGTGCACACTCAGACGTTAAGATGTCACTCATCAGGCACAGGCCGGGCAGGGTGGGCCCTGCATTCTCAGCCTCTGTTGTCTCCGTCCAGTCAAGCCAGGCCCTGTAGGACCATGTGCCAGGGCCAGGCTGTTTGGGCTCACGGGGTGGGGGGCGGGAGGCTGCAGGGTGGCTGATAGGCCCCCTGTGCTCTGGCAGGTGATGGACATGCTGCACTCGATGGGCCCCGACACGGTCGTCATCACCAGCTCTGACCTGCCCTCCCCGCGGGGCAGCGACTACCTGATTGCACTGGGCAGCCAGAGGATATGTAAGTCCAGTGCTGCCCACCAGGCCGCAGGGCACCCTTCCGCCCACACCGTGTCCCTGAGGCTTCTGAGACAGTTGTGGGTTTGTTAGAAAGACACCCCACCCCCACCCCCGCCATACTCAGCAGGGGTCATAGTGCTGAATTCGTCACCCCCCGGAAAGATTCAGCTGCAAGCAGGATGGAGAAGGGTTTCCAGGACGTGGGGTGCAGTGGAGCAGGCGGGGTGCTGACGGGCTCCCCCGGGTCACCAAGCAGCTCTCCATGCGTAGTCAGGGACAGGAGTCCTCATGCCTCCCATCCCGCGGGGCTGGTTCACATGTCCGGGGGTGGTTTGCACTCTAGTGGCCATTGTTAGTCATGTGATGCCTCCTGGATGTGAGTTCTCCACACTCGCTCACACCCATTTGCTCACACCTCACACCTGCACACCTGCCCCCATGTGAGGGGTTCCCACGGTCCCTGCTGCCATGGGCACCCTTCATGCCCTGTGGACCCTCTCTGGGTCACGTGGCATGTGCCAGTCCCCCATTGTGGAGCTGTGCCGTGGCCCCTAGGCCATCTTGACCAGAGGTCCAGTCTTGCACTTCCTCCCCTGATTTGCGGCTGTGGCTGGGGGTGTTGGGATCCCCGGCAGGTGATGGCAGCTTTCCCTGCCGCCACACAGGGAGGAGGGCAGGGTGGCACTCCTCTGGCCTAGGGCCTTGGGACCTGAGCCCTTGGGTCCCAGTCGCTGTCTCCCTTCCCCAGGGAAACCCGACGGGTCCATGCTGACAGAGCGTATCCGCATGGAGATGCATAAGGTGGATGCGGTCTTTGTGGGCACGGGGGACCTCTTTGCTGCTATGCTGCTGGCGTGGACTCACAAGCACCCCAATAATCTCAAGGTCAGTAGGACACCCCCAGCCCCCGGACAGTCAGGTGCTGTGGGGGCTTAACCAGGAAAAGGGAGACAGCCAGGTCTTGACCATGGCCGATCTGCCCCAGACGAGGTCCGAGGACTGGGGAGGGGTCGCAGCCTTGGTAACTCGGTAACTAGACGCACCTCCAGAGGAACAGTTGAGTAAAGTTTATCGCACTTTTCATCGTTGCAGTGACTTAAAGACTCAGACTGGGAGCTCCTGTGAGGATAAGGGATGGGCTCGTGCAGGGGAACTTGACTGGAGAGCCGTCTCCTCCTGGGTCCATGTGTTCCACTGCTGCTCTCTGTGTAAATGTCCGCCTTCGTAGAGAGAGTCATTCTGCTCGGGTGCTGCTCTGATTCGGTAGATGGGTGTTCACCCCACAGCTAAAGCTCCAGAGAAGACGGCATCCTTTGACCTTGTGTTGCATACACCATGATCTCTTGTCTGATTGTTCTGTCCATGCCCCGTCAGCTGACAGCCTTAGTGTGTCCTCCCTTAATGCTTTGAAACCAAAGAATTGGAAACCTGGCATGCACGGCAGTGCCCAGGTGGCTGGGCCCCTAGCATGTCCCCTCTGCAGCTCACAGTGGTTCTGGTGGTTGAGGCCCACCGGCGCCTGAGGACTCACGGGGGAAGGGCGGCTGCCAGCAAGGAGGGGAGGGGACAGGAGCATGACTTCCTCTGTCGGGTCCCCTCAAGGAAGAATTCAGAGGTCAGGATCTGGAAGTGGACTCCCCTAAAGCTGTGTTTACCAGGCACTTGGCGTGGCCTGTTTCCCCTAGGGGCCGATAGACACCCTCCCTAATACGGCAGTTGTGGCTGGGTGTCCAGCTCCATGTTTGTGGCACGCAGGGCTAGGATGGCTGGCTGGTGCCCTTCCCCTCTGACTGACAAGGCTCTGGTGACTGTCTGACGTAGCTTCACCCCTTCTGCCCACTGTGAGCCGGGGTGGGCACAGGTGTGCCGTGTTTATCTGGCAGCCATGGGAGTCTTCTGGTCCAAGCATCTAGACCTGTCTGGGGGAGGTCTTGCTGCTGGCCGCCCAAGGCCTAGGCTGAGCTCAGCTGGCCCTAGTCCTGGAGTCAGGAGGAACTATGCTCACTTCCCCAGTGTGTGCCAAGCCTGAGTCTGATGTTGAGACACCAGTGGGTGGTGACTTTGCCAGCTTTGGGACAGGAGCTCTTCCCACATCGGTTCCCTGTAACCACTTCATTCTGGAAACACTTGCTAAGCACATATGGCATGCCAGGCAGTATGGACAGGTCCTCCAGAGGGGGGTGGGCATGACTCCTTCACATCTAGGAGTCTGTAGGCTCTGCTGGGTCTCCTCGGTGGGCAGTCCTGGGGGCGGGGCGTGGTGGCAGAGCCAGTGCCCTGGCGACCCAGAGGGCACAGTGCCTGTGTTAATAAAGCATCCCATCCAGGCAGCTGTGGGCAACAGAGTGGGGAGCCTCCAGTAGGGGCCACAGCATTTCCTCCCCATGCAGGTGGCTTGTGAGAAGACCGTGTCGGCTATGTACCACGTTCTGCAGCGGACCATCAACTGTGCAAAAGGTACCACTGAGCCAGCCCACGAGCTGGTCCTGCTGGTCGGCACTTTCTTTGGGAGCCCTGGTTGGGAGGGGTGGGCACAGCACTGCTCCACTCTGGTGTGACCACTTTCTGCTGCGGTCAGAGGGTTCCCCATTGCTCCCACCGTCCGCCCGGGCCTTGGCCTTGGCTTTAGGCCTGGGGGCAGGGGCAGCGTCCTGGGGTGCCTTCTGAGACGGGTACGCCAGTGGTACCCCGACTGTCGGGACTGGGGAAAGGTAGGGGATAGAGAGCCACGCCCCTGCCCTCCCGTCCGTCACGCTGCCTTTGTTCCGTAGCCCAGGCTGGGGAAGGGCAGAGGCCCAGCTCGGCGCAGCTGGAGCTGCGGATGGTCCAGAGCAAAAAGGACATCGAGAACCCCAAGATTGTCGTCCAGGCCACGGTGCTCTGAGGCGCGCATACCCGCCTCTAGCACGCGGCCTGTTAGTGTCTCCGTCTTCGTCCTTGTGAGAAATGTGACGTCTGCCTTAGAGCTGTGACTGAAGCTTGGTATTTTGTCTTTTGTGGGTGTCCAGCATCAACTTGTCTTAATGGTGAAAACGTGCAGCCGTCCTTTTTAACAACACAGTGACCACAGAAATGTGTAATTTGAAACCCAGCTCCCTGCTCCCCGCAGGCCCCTGGGCCTCCCTGGAAAACCAGCTCTGTGTCTGCCCTCTTGGCGTCCGTCCCCCAGCCTCCTAGGCTGGTGTGGGGAATGTGCTATGTTCCCCTCACCAGACGGTGGGCCCGGGAGCCCCTGCATCTCTGAGTTGGGTTTTAACCATTTGCTTCCATAAGATTTACGCCAAATAGCCTCGTTGTTGTCCTGACCTGATGGTCTCCGTGCCGGCTTCAGAGTTGTGTTTGGTGCCATGCGCCTGGTAGGTCCCCAGGGGTGCAGACATCCTGTTTTCATGTCGCCGTGTGCACAGCTTAATACTAGCAGACCCAGACACAGGCAGGCATGGCCCAGTCACCTGGCGGGACCTTTCCTGGGCCCTGGAAATCCCATCAGACTCCGTATGTCATGTCTACCTGAGCACCACCTCCAGGGCCCTGCCGAGCGATGAGGGAGATGAGGAGGGGCCGGCGCAGCTGCAGGCGGGTGTGGGAGAGCCTGGTGTGTGGTACTGCAGGTCAGGTACGCGTTTGCCACCTGCTGCTGGTGACAGGACGGGGGCAGAGCTGACCTCCTCCCCGCTGAGTATATTTCAACCCCAGGCCAGTTACCTCATCCCCACCAACTCTGGGTTCTGTGCACCAGGTGTCTGCAAGCCAGAGGCCCCGCAAAGCCAGCTGCTGCTCCCCGACCTGCCCCGGGAGGGGTTTGACGTGGGGTCGGGCGGGGCGGCGCTCCAGAGGAGCAGCTCAGATGCCTCCAGCAGGGGCCAGCAGACACGAGTCCACTTGTCCACTGCTGGGACCCCTGCCTGCCCCACGTAGCCCAGGATTTTGAGGCAGGGGTGCCCACCCAGAAGCCTGGGTTTGGCCTGCCCGGGCTGCAGTGCCTGCTGCCACTTTTGCGGGGCACCTAGGTTTGCGTCTCCCAAGGGCCCCATGTGCAGACCCCCCCACAGAACTGCCCCACCCCTGACGGCAGTTCTGGTATCCTCTGGAAAGACTCGCGTCCTGAGCCACATGTTCCTGTTGACAACACCCCAGAATAAAGAAAAGCTGCTCCCACTGAGCCACCGCCTGCCACCCCCTGACTCCCGGTAACCTTTGCCCCGGTCAGAGTCCCTGAGCTCCCACAGCAGCCAGCAGAAGGCCATCTGTGTCCCTGCCCTTCCCAGTTCCGAGGACCCAGCCCCTGGAGCCCTGGGGCAGAGCCCAGCTCACTGGTCCCACCAGGGCCCAGTGGACCCAAGGAGGAGCAGGGCCAGCTGGCATCCCCAGCTGTGCAGCGCCCCCATGGACCACCCTGTCCCTGCCGAGTAGCTGGGGAGACGCCACACACCAGTGATGGAGAAAAGCTGCTTTTTGGCTTTTCTTAAATATCGAGTGCAGGTGTAAGGCAGCAGAGAACCTAAGTGCATGTCTTTGGTGAGGCGAGGACCCTGTGTGGGAGCGCAGAGCTGGGCCGGGGCTGGGCTGTGAGCGCCGCCCACCCAGAGGGCGGGCCGCCGGAACCCCCGACGATTCTCAATTTCCGTGGCTGTGTTTCAGGGGCTTCGCTCTGTCTTAGGCCCAGTTCTCTCACTGGCTGAATCTAGCACCGAACGGTGGGAACAACCCCCTGGAGGACTTTCTGCCAAACGAGGCCCCCTCTGCCTCTGGGCTGCAGTGAGGCAGCCTGGCCAGGCCCCTCATGTGCAGCAGCACAAGCCGACGGCTCCTGAGGGCCTCGGAAGTGTGGGGCTCCTGCAGGGACAGCCAAGCCCTGTGCGTCCCCACTCCTAGCAGCTACTGTGGTCACTATGCAGTCAAGTACGTGCTGTCAGTTCCCTATGGGATGGATAGTGCCATCAGGACAATGACAGAGGCCATGGGTTGTCTGTGCTTCAAATTCCCCATGAGGAGTTAACCAGGGTCCTTGGGCAGTGCTTTTCACACGTTGGGTCCAAATTAGCATTAATGTTTGGTTTTACTTTCCATACATTAGCAACACTAAGATAATTTATTTGAAGGCAAGAAATGTATTGGCCCAGAATCACCTCCTTGTTACCAGAGTACAGATTTTGATTCTTGTCAGATCTTCAGAGCTCCTCCTGTAAACCTCAAAGACGAATTACCAAACTGCTTTCTTCTTCATCAGTCTTAAACCATGGCCAAGTCCTAAAACGGCGCCGGTCTGTGTTACTTTTGCAATATACGTAAGCGATGGTAAACACAATGCTGTTTTGTGTTCTTTTCTTACACCTGTTAGAAGCACAGCCCTCAGTGTGCAGCAGATGAAGCACAGCGTCACAAAGTGCACGGTGGGCCAGTGGAAGGTGCTTCTGGTGTGGGAGTGGCAGCTGGGCGCACTGCCTGCCCCATGATGCCAAGGCCCAGTCCCTGATGTGAAAGTTTCCTCCCACTGTTGTCCTGTGCCCCAGGGAGAGCGTTGGGCACATTGGACTGAAGGAAGGGGTGAATGCTCAGCCCGTACTGGGTGTCCTGACGCTCCAGGCCCCAGTCCTCCTCTCCCCTTGAGCCCCTTACGGTGAAATGTACGGAATGGAAGGGGAGAGCATTCTGGCCCCTATACCATCACCGCAAGCAGGCCCCTCCTAGTCCTGCCCTTTGCAGAGACCAACCACATGGGGTGTCAGGCCCCCTCTGTGTGCGTCAGAGGCACCTTTGAGCATGTGACTGGGCTGCGATCTGCTGCCAGAAGAGCCAGGAACCCCTCCCTGGCCTCCTCTGCCACTGCCGCTCTCTTGGGCCTCCCTCACCCACATCCCGTGGGGTGGGATTCAAGAGGACTGCACACAGCACCCGCCTGGGAGGCCAGCAGGAGGGCAGTGGGTGCGCAGAGAGGATTATGTGCAGACAGCAGGCTGGGAGTGCGGTTCTGGCTTTCTGAGTCTGGGTGGGAGCCACACAGCCTCCAGACCCAAGTCGGCCTGCTGCGGGTGTGCCGCTGCCGAGCCCAGCTGTCTGTCCCACACCTCCTCCCACTGCCAGGTGGCCGGGACTTCCCTTATCATCCCCAGTGGTGCTTAGCTGTTGGACTTCCCTCCAGCACATGGCCTGTGACCATGGAGGGAGCATGTCGGATGAACGTGCAGAGTGGACATCGGAGGGATCCCCGTCCCTGGGGAGGGCAGCACTGGGAGGCCAGGCCCAGTGCCCTAGGCCAGTGAGGTCTTGAACCTGCATCCAGCTGGTCCGGACAGTCGGCATTCCCCGAGAACACAATCCTGCTGTGTTCACTTCTGCCCATGGGCACCAGTCAGGCCGGTCCCTCCAGGCACTGTGACCGGGCACTCCACCTGTGGCTTTGGGGCTGGGTTCAGGGCTGGTGTGTGGGTGCCTGTGTCTCTGCTGAGGTCGCTCTGTGCTGGGGGTAGAATGGGGGTACTGGACGGTCTTTGCAGAGAAGAGTATTTGTAGAGACTCCACTGTGGTTGTGGAGTCCAGCCACACAGTTCTGGGCTCTGCCAGCAGGGAGCAGCCCAGTGAGGAGGACCTGGGCCTTGGGGGTCCCTGCACAGCTGTACAGGGAGGAAGGGAGCCTGGGGTACTTCCCCCTTGTGTGCCCTGGGACCCCTGCGCCCCAGAGGCTCAGCCTTGCACCCCTGCATCTGAAAGATTCCCCTGGGCATCTGCCATGCAGCCGAGCTTCTCGTTCCTAAAATGTGGGCTTTTGTAGCTCACATGTGTTCTTGAGAACTTCTGCAGTTTATCCACAGTGAGTGTTGTTTTCTCAATGTGGAAAGACACAGATTGAAAAACAATGTCTTACCAGCCACATTGCTGCCTTCCACCACAGGCTGTGCTCATGAGGACCATAGTGTGTTCATTTGTTTAAGATGGAATTTAATGAGTGACCTTAGGTCTGACTCAGGAAATACTAGCTTTATGTTCATGAAAGTTCTTAGAATTTTATTCTCAATTCCGGCAGAGGAAACACTTTAAAAGCTTTCCCACCAAGCCAAGCAGAGCTGAGTCCTGAGCAGGAGACTGCATCGCTCCCTGATTCCTGGCTCATGAGCACGGGGGGGCCCAGTTCCAGCTGGTGGTGGTGAACAAGGCTCCAGCCACAGCCCTCCCTCTGTCCCTGCTGCTGCCCCACGCCAGTATCGGGCAAATTCCAGTCTCGGGCAGCAGGAGGCCCATCGTGGTAGGAAAGGCTTCTGAGGTCGTGGGCCACTCCCTGTCCTGGTGCATCGCTGTCCAGTCGGCTCTGAAGCCAGAGAACAAGGGCCAGCCCTTGGCCTGGCAGAACTGGGCAGACTGGATGGAAAGAAGCCACCCCCAGATGGGCGTGGGCCCCGAGGGGGAGCAGTCATGACTAATCCGAGGGCACAGAGCCTGGTGGTCTCGGGAGGGGAGCGGGGTGCCTCCGTCATGCTGCTGGAGCTGCTGGTTTGGAAGCCACTGGTTACTTTCTCACCTGGGACCCAGCTCCTGGCACGAGGAGAGGATGTGCCCGGGGCAGGGAAGGGAACTGATGGGCCTGGCAGAGCCTGTCCTCAGGCCCCAGAGAGCGAGGAGGGGAAGGAGCAAACCCCACAGCATGACGCCAGCCCTGTGCATGGCAGAGTAGCTGGGATGACGGCTCAATGATGGGAGGGTTAGACGTTCCCCTCTGCGGACATGAAAGCAGATCGTTAACTGGCTTCACGGAGCCCCCGACGGATCAGAGGGGTGTGGCAGTGGTTTGCACACTTCTTTTAGCTGCACACTTCCCAACCTAGGGCTTTAGTTGCAGTTCTAGCCAGTGATTGCAAAACTGGACCAGTGGGGGGACTGAGGTGCTGATGCTGCAGATTGGGGCCTTCTTGGAGCTGAGCTCAGGTTTGGGAAGACCCTCAGGGCCATCTCTGGGTCCAAGTAGGGCATCGGGGGCCCCGTGTCCACCAGACCCACATACTGTGCACGTGGATTTTGGGTAAGCCTGGCGTCCTGTCAAGGCTATGTCTGTCGCCCTGGTGGTCTGGGGTTACCCACAGGGGGTTTTTCATTGCGACTGTGCTTAAGTGTGACCTTTCCCTCAGGGATTCATCACCCTTCCCCTTAGGAACTCTGTGAAGTCCCGTGGTCCAATGGGCATGGATCCTGAGCATCTCACCTTCCAGGACGGGCTGCCCTGCCCTGGCGGAGGGGCCCAGTTCCCTCAGGCCCGCACTCTACTCTGCGGGCAGCTGGCCCGTAGCTCTTGGCAGTGGGGCTCCCTATCCTGGCTCCTCCCTGCCAGGGCTGGGGACCAGGTTCCCTGGCAAGTGACACCAGTCTGCCTGGGCTCCAGTTTCTGCGCACCTGGGTGGTGAAGCACACCTGGGTGGTGGTGCCCTGGCTGATTCACCTGCACGTTAGTAAGTGCACCTGCAGGTCTTCTCACCGGGCTCACTGCTGTCAGGATGGCAAGGAGAGGGAAGGAGGGGCTGTGAGCCTGCTTCCTGTCTGACCTCCAATGCCACCTCTCACCACCGAGTGCCACTGTCCTGGTGCTGCTGAGCTAGGCAGAGAGGTGCTCGTGGCAGGAGGCCTGATCCTGGGGGAAGCGTCTCTGGGCCCCTGTAACACGTTTCTACACGTTTCGTGGGTTTACCCTTAAACTTGGTCAGAAGTCTAAACACAGGTGAGCAGGCCGGCTCCTCTGGAGGCCCGGGAGTCTGTGCGGCCCCCCTGGATCCTGGGCCCACCCGCACTCCCTGGCCCATCTGCACTCCCAGGTTCCCCCAGCTCCCAGGGCCCCCGGGCTCCCGGGGCCCACCCCGCTCTCACCTGCGCTCCTTGGCTCAAGGCGTCGCTCAGCCTCTCCCATTGTTGCATCTGTGGCGTCTACCACCCCGCCCTCCTCCTGCAGGGACCCTGGGATGACCTTGGGCCCACCTGGCACAAAACAGGGAGGCAAAGGGGAGCTCAGGGATTTCCTGCTATGCCCTGGAGCCACACAGCAACTCCAACACCGTCTTTACTCCTGCGACACAGAGACAGTCCGATCAACACAACCCCACACTGTCCAGGGACCGGCTGATGCCACTCAGACAGGAGCCCTCTGTTGAAACCCAAAAGCGTACTGTTAAAACACAGGCTGTTGGGAGGAGGGGGTGGGCTCTGAGCACATACAACCCCGCCGGGAGGCCACACAGTCTCTCGCAGGCACACCTTTGTTGCCACAGCTACCTGTCCTGTGCGCGCCTCTGTCCTAAGGCACAAAGTGTGAGTGTGTCCAAGGGCATCTAAGCTAATGCTCTAGAATCAGATTTCCTCAAATCCTTTCGTTTAATGGGGAAATGGAGGCCAGGAGATGACAGAGTCCAGGCTCCCGGAGTGCTGGTGGGCTGCCCAGGTGGAAGGGGTCTCAGGCCAGCACATGGCTCCCCGTGGGACAGGTCCCACATGGCTGTGAGGGAACCTCCTACCCACGGCGCTCTCCACCTAGGACACCACTGTGTAAGACTATGGCTTCAGAAGGAAAAAACCCCAAAGCAGGCAATTTGTAGACTTCAAAGATATATGTATTTAAAGATGATATAAGTCTTTTTTGAAAGTGATTTAGTCGAGATTGTTGATTGGCAGGAAAAAGGTCAGGAAAGTGAGAAACAGACCAGCAAGGTGCTAACAACCCCCCACCGCAGACGGCACTGCTGCTGACGACCCAGAGCACATCTGGAGGACACAGCCATGTGGACGACAGGCTCTGCACGGTGGAGAACTAGAAATAGGCCAGCTCATCATGCCTGGCTTTGTGGGTCTGATAGTTGGTCAAGGCCAAGGGCTTGTTTGTGTGCGGTAGGCTTTCATATACGCGAATATGCATGAAGTCGTCATCGTCCACCTGGACCTGGGAAGAGAGCATGTCAGGACTGGGCAGCCTCAGCCCCAGGCTCCCCTGCCCGACAGGGCTGTGCGAGGGCAGCCCCAGCTGTGCTTCCTTCAGGTCGTTAGAGGGGCTGCTGGCCTTCCCACCTCCCTCATGTGCAGGGACACCCTGGTTACGCCAGCCAGCATCCCCAGCATCCCCATTCACTCTACCACAGCCCTTACTTGCCTGAAAGCTCTGCCCTCTCCACGGGTAGGTCAGCATGGGCACACGCATGCACACACACGTGTACGCATACACACATGCACACATGCAGACACTTCCAGTTGAGGGCCACAGAGCCCCAACCTGAGGGTTGCCACGGGACCCTCGAAGCACCCCCTGTCCTGGCACCTATGAACTCCCACTTCGGTCTGACCCTCCCGTGTGGCTGACACTCCACCTTGATGAAGTAGTTCGTCCCTGCGACAACCTGGCTCTTGAACTCCACGGCTTTGAAAACAGTGTACTTGTTATTTTCCCTCTCCTCCAGCTGGGACCTCACCTGGGGAGGGGGGAGAACGGCGAACGTGAGCAGGAGCGGCTGATGCATAAGCTTACTTTTCACACTAAATGTCACAACCTGAATTCTAATGCCCACCCTGTACAGATTTTCTGTGACATGATCTGTGTAACAGGGAATGCATTTAACTATTACCTATATGAAAAAGTGCAGACCCAGTTCCTTAAATCGGCCAACGTTTCAGGGATGCTATTTCGGTATATCATCTGCCCTTTGTTTTCTAGCAATGGGATATTTTTACATTTCCAGCACTATGACACTATATACAAGTTTATACTGTTTTCTTAACATGCAGAGTTCATTTCAAAGCCTACATATAATTTTTAATTACTCTTAAAATCAAAAACTAAAACATATTTAAAGTTTAAGCCAATTTTATGTGAAATTTGAATATAACCTTTCGACATTTGAATTCCCCTAACGGGGCACTTAGGCTGTTCCTAGTTTTCCGTGTAACGGACGAGGCAGCAGTTAAGTGCTGTGCAGGTAAAAGCATATCACTGGAGCCCCAGTGGTCTGTGCAGGTGCACAGCGCTGGGGCCGAGGCCAACCTTGTCTGGTGATGGTGCCTCTGGGTCGGTCCTGTTTCCCAGGGCTGTGGCATTTCAGGAACTCAACATCTTTACGGGGATAGGAGAGGTTTATCTTCTTTAAAAGTTTAAAGTCTGATGTAGTTTTAAAAGTGCTCTGGCTGCTGTCTAGATTACCTGGCCAGCGCTAGAGTATACTGCCCTAGTGCTGGGCTCACCAGCTAGTCCCAGAGGGTCACAGGGTCTGTGCACCAGCTGCAGGAAGCACGCTGGGTGCTGGGAGGCAGTGGGGGATGGGTGGGTGGTGACCGTGGTCACATGCAAGTGAGCCACCCTGGCAATCCAAACACAGGCCTGGGGCCTCCAGGGAGGGGCCTTCCTGGGGATAAGGCTGCTGTCTAGGCAAGCAAGGTCATGAGAGAGGGTCGTGCAGGGAAAAGGCAGGCTGGGTCCTGCTGCTCCTGTTCCTCCACCCTCCGCACATGCCTGCCCGGGCAGCCAGGGCCTTCCTGTGCCTGAATTCTTACCTGCAGCACTCTGGGTCGTGCAAGGTGCCGGGCCAGGCTGCGGAGGACTGACCCTGCACGGTTTACAGGACAGGGAGCACGAGAGGCAGCCACAAACGTGTGGGGGTCTGGGGAGGAACTGCCTCCCTCTTCACCTGTTTCTGGAGAGGCAGTGAGGCAGCGAGGCCCCACTGTTTGCAAGGAATGGGGTTAAGACCAGGCTGAAGGCGGCGGAACGGGGGTGGGGAGGCCTCGAATGCAAGGCTGGGGCACGGCTTGTGGGTGACAGTTCACGTGTTCCATTTGTGACCAGGATAAAGGAGGGCTGGGCTGTGGCTGAGGGGCACAGAAGGCCCAGGGTCAGCTGGAAGGTGTGGGCCCCAGCCCTCGGGATCAGGGTGGGGCAGGAGGCCGGGGGAGGCGGGAGCACCGGCTGGTGGGTGCTCAGACCTGAGGCGGATCTCACGGCTCCGCTGCCTCCCGCCGGTTCTCACCCGCACCCAGGCGCTCCTGAGGGGGGTCAATGCCAAGAGCCGCGGTGCGACCCCCTGCCCCGCTCCTCCCGGAGACCCCAGCAAGTGGGCGCAGCCTCCTGCCTGCCTCAGAGCTTCTCCCAGGAGCAGTGGCCGCTGCCCCTTGCATGTCCCTCTCAGGTGATCAACACCAAATGAGGGGCCCTCTGAGAAGAGAACTCTCCCCTCCCGGATGAGCTGACACACAGAGACCATGTGACAAGCGGCCTGAAAAACGAGGAAAACGGAAGGCGTCACACGGAGTCGGCCTGGGGAGAACCCGTAACCGGCCCAGGCCGGCTCACAGGAGTCCTGCCGATTCCTAGCTTCCCAAGGTCTCCTGGCACTGACCCACCGGCCTCCGCTGCCCTCACCACCTGGGACAGGACCCTGGGGGCAGCGGCAGGGAAGGAAAGCTAGAGAAACACCCTATCCTACCGACCGTAGCCCCCACTTCGTGAGCCTGGGCTGACCGCACCAGCTTGGGGCTCCTGGTGCCCCTTCCCAGGGTCCCTCCTGCCACCTCTCAGCGCACCCGCTACAGGGCCGGGCCCCAGGTAGGGCTTTCCTGACCTCTGGAGGGTATTCTCCTGGCTGACCCTCCCTCCGGAGGCCTCGGGCGCACTTCCCAGGAGTTGGGGTGCTGGTCCCCGCCGGCACACACTTGTCCCGGGCGGGCGGTCTCCTGCGAAAGCTGATGAAGGGAGGACGCGAACGCAGGCCTGGGGTACCCTGGCCGGCATACCTGGTCGGCGATGGCCTGGATCTCCGCCGTGGCGGGCTGCGTGGCAGAGGGCGCCCCGCACATCATCCTGGCGGCTGAGGGCGGGCAGCGGATCTGACGGAACGAACGGGTGATGTGTAGACTCGGGTGCTGCCCGCGCTACAGGGCCTGGTGCCGCCGGGCCACAAATACGCGCGGCCACGTGACGTGGGGGCGGACCCGCCGCGGAAGAGGTGCTTCGCCGGGAGAGGGCCGGTAGGGGGCGCGCGGGTGTCACGCAGGCCCTGGCGGGGGCGAGAGACACACAGCCCACACTTCCGCCGCGGGCGTGGTCGGGGCACGTGCATGCCAGCCGAAGGGGCGTCCCCCGCCGCGGGATCCCCGTCCTCCCGGGGGCCCGGTCCTGGCGGCGGAGAGCCCCGCCCCGCCCTGCAGGGGATGTGTCGGAGTCGGGGTCGGGAGCCCCGGTGGGGCTGGCTCGGGCCCTGCGGTGGAGGCACGAGCCCCTTGGGGGTGGAATGTGGGGGTGCCTGGCCTGGGAGGGGGGTGGTGGGGGGCGTGTGGGGCCCTCGGGGATGGTGTCCAGCCGACCCCAGGTGGCCGTGGCGCGTTGTCCCGTTGGATTGTTTTGAGCTGCCGGCTGCTGAGAGCCCGCTGGTGAAGGACAGGCTGTTCTCTCTCCTTTAACTGCCTAAATTGACGTAGGAAGAGCGGTGGTCGGACATGACTTACTCATCTGGAGGCCTGTGTGCCTGGCTGGGGCAACATCTCACTGCCAGACTTCTGCTCTCGGCTGCGCCCTTTTGAAGGCCCAGGCCCCTGTCCCCTTCCTCAGCTGAGGATGGCGGGCTAAGAAGCCTCCGCTGCCTGCCCTCCTGTGGGCCTCGTGTTTTTACTCAGGTGTGGCCGGGCCCCTGCGTCTGCGGAGGTCGCGCCCTGCGCACCAGGTGAAACCGCCACCCACACGGCGGGGCGGGTTCTTGGCTCTGAACGAGAAAGTTTTCTTGCCAGGAGCCGACCTACCCCCCCCTGCCCGGTCGCCCAGCCCCGCAGGCCGGTGGGTGGCTGCCGCACAGCGGGCCTCCACAGGGGAAGCTACTGATACCTCTTCTATTGCTTGATCTGACCATTCCCCGAGTCAGAACAGCCCTCATGAATCACAAGAAGCCCCCAGAGAAAAGACTGTTAGGAGCCATAGAGCGATCATAAAACTCGGCTTGTGACCCTGCACATTTCCCCCAGGCCGGTGGGTTATTGTCCCTGGGTTGGAAATAGAAAAAGTTTAGGTAACTTCATGGTACAGCTCCCAGGCCAGCTTGTCCCCCAGGAGAAACAAGAGGTGACTAACATGGGGTGTGGGTCAGGAGAGCAGGCAGAAAAATCTTGGTAGAGCTCCCTTATAATTCATTACTATAGAAATTACAGCATGCATTGTTATAGTCAAGATCCATAGAATAAATGCTGCTCATTCTACTGTAAATGGTTTCGGGGAACTATGGAAAATACATGCCCCCCCCCAGCGAGCCTAGGTGGGAGTCCAGGTGAGCAAGTTTAAGACACATTCAGAAGACATTGTGGTGCCTTGTAGAAATTTAACCTGAGATTAGAATCTAAAGGTATGAGTGCTACAGAAAAATCTTGAAGAAGAAAACATAATGACGTTTCATGGTTGGGAAAGGGGAACATTCGAGAAGTAGATTATGCCATAAATCACTGAATGACACATGCCTTATGATGATTTTATGATGATTTCATGTAAGCAATACCCTATGTATTGCTTGAGGTTTCTGTCAATAAACAGGCCAGCTTAGCATCTCTGCTAGTGTCTGTGTCCTCATTCATTCATTTCGCCGACGCTGTTCCTCCGGGGAACCTTGGACTCGATGAAGCTGGACTCCGCCATTTTCTCGAGCAGGTCAGAGGAGTGTAGCTAAGGAAGAGGTTCGTTAAAGCAGGAGTAGCAGGGAATGGCAGCTGCCTCGCAGGTGGCAAAGAGGGAGCGAGGAAGAACGGGGGAGGAAAGGGCGACTCGTTGAACTCCCACTCGGCAGTGGGCGAATCCCTCGCCAACTTCTAAAGCCAGGCTCACCTGGCGTCCAGCATCCACTTGGGTCTGTACAGCGTGGGAACTAAGTCCCCACCAGCCCAGGATCTGGGGGCACTGCAGAGCACCGGGTGGAGTGGCATTATGTACTGAGCGCTCCCCAGAGGCAAAGACAGGATATTTTCGGGCAGCCTCCTGAAGGGCACTACGGTACAGCTGCTGTCCTGTCCGGGTCACCTGCGCGACGGGAACTGGCCAGCCCTGCTCAGAGCACCCAGTAGCCCCTCCCTCCTCCTCTGCAATGGAGCAGAGACAACAAAGACCTGTGCTTCCGTCTGGAAGAGAGAATGAAATATGAAGGTCACAAAGATACTTACCCCTGGAAGAGCGCAGAGAACAAAATGCAGTAAGTTTAAGAGTGAGCACTTTATTTCAGGCAAAAAGTACACACTCAAAGAATCAGTACTTGGGGTGGAAAGATTAAGATTTCATGGCCCTCTTACCCCCGTTACCGTGATGTTTGAGACGCCCACCCTTGCTTGAGATGAGGAGTTCTCAGGCATTTTCTGTGGAGATGTGGTCATTACCTGCAGCTTGTGTGATGCAGGTGCCTGTGGGATTGATGGGCATCCACTGAAATGGCAATAGTCACCACCACTGGGGGTGGGATAGCAGTATTCAGTAACTCTCTTCTCTGAGGTTTTCTGTATGCGAGTTTTATATAAAGGACTTTTTGTTTTTGGAACATACTGCATATTCTTGACAAGGGAATGACCTCATGGGACAATGCTAGGTATGTTACTGAAAAGGAGTTTCAAATGCGTCAGTGGAGTGTGATGATTGCAGCAAGTCATGTTAACGTATTATAGGATCAACAAAAATGTTATGCACATGGAATAAAGAATAGATTAAGTCAAACATTGTTCTTTCAGGACATGAGGCTAGGAGTGGTTCCCTCTGCAAGTTTTCTCATTTCCCCCATTTTCTAGAATAAAAAGCAAGCAAAGGGGAGAAGTGTCAGAAATGGAAATTAATGAGTTTGGGTCTGGAGGGAAGGCCTGCCAGCAGCATGCTAGGGTGCCAGAGCCCCCCGGCCTCTCTGATTTCCTAGGCCAAGTACAAATGCAAATTTGGGCCCCTTGTTTGAAAAGTATTTGGGATTTCAGGATGGCAGATGCAGAGGCACCCTGGATGCAGCCCTTCTGAGCGTGGGGCCCTGTGAAGAGTCCTGGCCGTGTTGGAGGGCGCCACGCACGCCCTGTGGGCCATCCTGGGTGTATCCCTGGCCTGTCTCCTGCAGGCTCTGGGTAAGAGTGTCACCTATAAGCCTCTTTGCTCATTTTCAAAAAGGCAAAAATCACACCTCCCCTGCAGGATTGTTTTCAGGTGTACGAAAAGCTGTGTAAGGAACCCTAGCTACATGGTAGGCAGTCATCACCTGGTGATGAGTAGTACTTATCCAATTTGCCCCTTACATTAGGGGACTCACTAATGTCTCCCCAAAAGTCAGGTCCACCCAGAACCTCAATATGTGTCCTTAATTTGGAAATAGGTTCTTTGCAAAGGTCATGAAGTAGATTAAGGTTATCAACTGAAATCCACGCATCCGTTGTTAAAGAAACAGTGTGTGTATTGAGTGGTTCTGAGAAGTAAAACGCAGAAGAGTTTTGGGGGAAACTGCTCCAAAGCCTCCTGCATTTGGGATATCTTAAGTACCTTTTTTTTTTTTACACTATACCTTCCTCATCCTTGAAATTTACTTTTAAAAAAATTCTTTATTAAGGTATTATTGATATACACTCTTATAAAGGTTTCACATGAACAAACAATGTGGTTACTACATTTACCCATATTATCAAGTCCCCCTCATACCCCAATGCAGTCACTGTCCATCAGTGTAGTAAGATGTCACAGATTCATTATTTGCCTTCTCTGTGCTACACTGTTCTCCCCGTGATCCCCCACACCATGTGTACTAAACATAATACCCCTGAATTCCTTTCTCCCTCCCTCTCCACCCGCCCTCCCACACCCCTGCCCTTTGGTAACCACTAGTTGCTTCTTGGAGTCTCTGCGTCTGCTGCTATTTTGTTCCTTCAGTTTTGCTTCATTGTTATACTCCACAAATGAGGGAAATCATTTGGCATTTGTCTTTTTACGCCTGGCTTATTTCACTGAGCATAATGTCCTTGAGCTCCACCCATGTTGTTGCAAATGGTAGGATTTGTTTCTTTCTTATGGCTGAATAGTATTCCAGTATATATATGTACCACATCCTCTTTATCCATTCATCTACCGATGGACACTTAGGTTGCTTCCGTATCTTGGCTATTGTAAAAGTGCTGCTATAAACATAGGGGTGTGTCAGGTCCCTTCCGTGTCTCTGACCCGCAGATGAGGGAAGAAACATGATTGTTCTTCGAAGACCTGAGGACCAGCCAGGGGACTCAAGGCGTGATGGCGCAAGAGTCATGCCGAGAAGGCATCTCTCATATTTATTGATGAAATGGTTGTTAACAACAATATTGGGGTTTCCATGCACAATTATTAATCAAGTCCAACTCTCAACAGTTTCACCTTCTGAAGAATAACGAACAAATCTTCATAGTGAATGAACACAGAAACTCTTTCTGTCTTGACTGTTGTTTCTGTCTTGACTACAATCATGAACCATAAACAAACCATCAAGGCAAAAGTGCTTATACATATGATTTTTATACTTTATATATAAATTCCATGTAATTCCCACATTTCCCCCTTTTTTTTTTATTAAAGAACTTTGAAATAATGATTGTTGTAACTGAAGCGAAAGATCTGTTTTTAATTTTTTAAGTATGAACTTAGCTGGACAAAAGCAGCAGAGAATGCCTCATATAAGTGGGGGGACGAGGTTCTAAGCCTCACCTCAGTTGGCCCCCACTTCCTCGCCTGGTGACCCTTTATGACTGTGCCTGTCTTAGGTTGTTCCTCCCATGAGGAATCTTACCCGTCTCTGGCTAACCAGCCATCTCCTGGGGCCACACAGGGAGAGAACATACAGAAAAAGGAGGCATTAGGCATAGATTAATGTTTGTTTTCATACTCTCACTCTTATGTCCAGTCTTAATCATAGAAATCACAAAATACAAAGATTAAGTGCACGGACTTTCATGAGTAACAATGCAAACAAAGAAAAATGATTTTTTAGAC